ATGTCTTATAAGTAACCCAGAAGGTCTTCATTTTATAAGTGATGGGAGAAAATATTAAAAAGAGGTGTAAAGGCAGGAAGGAAGAGAGGCAGCTGGGAGAAGCATAAGGATTCAATGTGAAAAGAGCTGGGAGGTCCAGAGCCCTGTGCTTCATGCTAGTGATACTTTGTTGATGTGCCCTTCTTCCCTTCTCTCTGCTTGGCTCCTTTCATGTGCAGTCATCCCCACCCACCCATCCCACCATCTTGAATTTTCTAACAGTGAATGAACAGTTCAACAAGAAATTCTCAGGGACCACAGGCAGCCTTTGCAGGTAAATGGAAGCTGGAACCATCTACTTCCTTTGTTTTCACAGTATATGCACGCAATAGTGACATCTATGGAATAGTCAGGCCAGCCCACTTCTGCTGAGAACTGCCCCACCCAGTTGTTTTAAACCAACATGTTAGTACAAATTGACACTGTTTGTAGGCAGGGGTTGATTTGGTACTTCACCCAGATGGATCCGAACGGTATTCTATTCTTTGCCCTAGTTAATTTGATCCAAGCTAGACCTATCAGGATTTTCTCCAGGATTTTGGAACTGGAACTGAAGAGGTCAGTCCACTTCTGTGTGGCTAAAGCTTTAATATATAACATTAGGATACCAACAGCAGTCATGCTGTCATTTGCAGAAAGTCAGTCTGCAGTGATAAAAAAGAAGGAAGCCATCCTTCTGGGAGCCACAGAAACAGGAAGGGGAAGAGACATTTTGGTGCTGTGAGTGTAATTCTGCTTGCAGGATTCTTTCAGCCTAGGTACATCTCAGTCCTTCTTGAATACTAATATTTACCTCTGCATTTGATTCTATGAGATACCCAGTAACATTTCTTACTTTGCACTTATTACTTACAACCCAGAGTCCTGGGCCCAGAAAGTAAACCTCATGGCCCCTATAACCCAAGTGGCTACCGCAGAACCTCCATGCCTTATCCTCTCATAGCAAGAACTTTTTTGTCAGTTAGGATCAGCCCTTTGGCCAATCAGAAGAGTCACATATAAACTGTGGGCAAGAGCTTGTGTGCAAGGGCTCAATCTGATGAGCTATTTTTCTGATTTGATTAGACGGTTATTGCAAGTTTTACTAATGTAAAATGATATACAGATTTTTAAAAACAGAAAGTAATTGTAATGTTTTATGAAGGAGCCATTTTTGTTGCTATCCATCTGCACAATTCGTTCTGCCTTCATGTAGTTTTGGCTTATTATACAGAGCAGATAGACTATCAGGACAATAACCAGGGAAGTGAAGAGACTTGGGACACCCATATTAATACGGTTCTTTTCT